GCAGCTGCAATTGGCTGGAGGGCCAACAGGGTGGAACTTTATTGGTCGCTGTGTTATGCCACACAGATCACAGTATGCAGGCTCCCCTCTTCCTCTTAAAAAGCGTTTTTGCTGCAATGCAGAGATTTCCCTCTGCCTCAGACGATTTATTTTCCTTCGGTTCTGTTTGATAATTTGTGATTATGACAGCATAAAACCAGGGGGCTTTTTGTTTTCCTTTAATGTTTTTAAAAAGCCTTGTGGCTGTCATGCACAACTCAGTGTCTGTGCTATTCAACCTCTGTCACCCTCTCTATAGCCTGCAATGCTACAGAAAGAGGCTCAGAGCTTTGCCCCACATATATCCATCTAAAATTTAATAATTACACATTTTAACATAAATTCTCAATCAGGCATTGTGGCGTAGTAAAGGTTTTGGTTTCACAGATAGCAATCTTTTAAACTACGAGTAATTTCCTGATTATAACCTTACTCTCTTCTGACTGTTGCCTACATGAAAAAAAAAGCCTTGCGTCAGGCCACAAGAAAAAGAAATCATTCTTTGTTTCCCCGGCACAGCTGAGACTGCTAAAATGGTGCAACATGACAAAACACAACATACCGACTATGATGTGGACAGCATGACAGGTTATTGGAAGGAACAATCCTTCTTAACGACACTTTTAGCAGCTGTTCAAATGCAGTTGATACTTATGTAAAGCATTCTGCTTGACTCTGTTTGAAATGTGCTATTCACATTAAACTGATTTGACTTGAAACATTTAAAAATATGTCTGTCTTATGTTATTTCCACGAGTAGTGTGTTATATTTGCTTATGCCGTGTGATCTGTGAAGACAGCAGCACAAAATGGCTACTGCCTGGCTGAGAGCGTAGGAAGCAGTTTCACAACAGCACTGTGGAATTGCAGAAGCCAGGGGCAATAAACTCCAGGCCTATGAGTGTAAATAGAGGCAACCAGTTTATAAAGATTACACTGGAAAAACTGGAAGGGGATTACCCCTGTCACAAAGTGTTTGTATGTAATGTGGCCTCTGACTAGTATGGACTGTAGAAAACCCAGTCTTAGTGCAGCTTTCCTAAATGTGTATACACTGTGCTACAGTTTTCATGTTCTAGATATTTTTCACATATGTGTACATAAAAATGTTACAATGACGTGATGCCCTGCGCACTCTGCCCTCCTAGCATGCACTTCTGTTTCCCTTTGCATGTAGTCCCCATCCTGGCATGACACAAGAAAACACCACAGAGCCAATCCACTTAGAAACAGTACATAATACACCCTTTCCTCCACTGCCCATCCCCCATTCTTCCTCTGCCATTCTAAAAAAAAAAACCACAAACACTCCCACAACAGAAAGGAGATGTGTGTGCCATTTTAAAATCCAACTCTCTTTTGCATTCTAAAAAAATAAAAGGATTTTTCATGGTCCACTCTGCCTCCTGTATGGCAGGCTGGTTGTCTGGGGCACTCATGTGACCCTGAGACATAGAGAGAGAACAAGGGTGAGAGTCGTTAGCCAACCCCCACCCTCCCACCCTCAGCACTGTGGAGCACAGAGGCCTTACGAGGCCTCCAATCCACCCCAGCTCCTCCTCCTCCTGCACACTAAACTGACTTTAAGGTGTGCGCATTCATCATTAGAAACCAACAGTCAGCACAACACGAAGAAGGAAGCCATGTTGTTATCAGAAGTCTGAGATAAAAAAGACAGAGCTTACCTCTGTGGATGCATGGCTGCCTGACACACTGTTATGTCAACACTTATAAAACATGGAGGACACTCTCAGCCCTCAGTCGGGGAAGGCTCCGCTCTTCAGGCAAGGCGATCAGGCCCCGGTGATGTTAGCCAGATCCTGACTGGTCGCTTTCCTCACGAGCAAGATGCAAGGCCGCGCCTGATTGGCCGAAATGTTTCCTGAGTAATTATCTTTGTTCAGTGCAGGCAGGGGCAGCACTGTGAGAGTCAGAGACAGGGGAAGAAAAATAAGCACAGAGCTAGGTCTTAAAACCACAAAATATTGTGATTACTGCGAGTATTTCTGACATACAAACCCATGGAACAATGCTTTGTAGCTTCCAACAGCAGAATCAGGAAACAACCGTCTTAGCTGAAGGTTTTAGAAGGAGAAACGGCAGCATGTAGTGTTGAGAGCAGGACACCATGGCTTCTCTGCACAAGCTTCCATTTTTTATGTGGAAAGGGCCTTTGTTTAAACTCCTCCCTCTTGGCTTATTCCAAAGAAAAGAGAGGCTAAAGCTGTTATTCTATTCGGACATTTCAGCCATCAAAAAACAGAACACCATAAAAAATTATATAAGAAATGATATACTTGTATTTAATCCTAAAGAAGCTAACCCTCGCTTTTTATTATGTATATATGAATAATGGCCAGTTAAACAAACCATATGCAAAAATACTGTGTACGAGTGATTACCTGATAAGCTTGATCAGTTACCAGATGTGGTCCCGTCTGACTTTCAGCAGACCCATCTATGACCAGATAAAGAGTAAAATATATAGATTATTAGGCAATACAATATAACAATTCATTCTGAGGAACACATGCACGTTCCTTTTTGCTTTATCTCATTTGTTGAGTCTGAGCTTGGGTCATTTGTAAGGCTTTAATTTGATGTGATGAAAAGTCTATTTTTATATACTCTTATGTAGAATTCAAAGCAGTATTTGAATACTAGAAAAATGTGTTCAATGCATAGGACTTCATTAAATTAAACATAAAATATGTCCTGATATATAAATATTGCCATATGTTGCTTATCGGTATTACAAGCACTAAAAATTACACCTCAATTATCTTTTTTGAACTTCCTTTAACCACTTTGGGGGCTTTTTTCAGCAACATTTTTCTCCTCCAAGTAAGGCTAATTTACATTTCAAACATTGTAAAGTAGGGTGATGAATTTGAAAAGACAACCAAGACTTGCACAAACTATGGCCAAGTAATTTTTGCTTAGTTATAAAGCAGAGCAGACTCGCGGCGGATCAACTTGTCTCTGATTTCCGTGTAAGCACAATGGAGGCCTGTGTTCTTGTGATTTGGGGAAGTGAAGCACACAGAAGGAAAAAAGACTTCCGCCCAACGTGGGGCTCGAACCCACGACCCTGAGATTAAGAGTCTCATGCTCTACCGACTGAGCTAGCCGGGCGCTGATGAAACACATCGCCGTTTAGAAATTTCACCCAAATTAGAGAAAACGACCTGAACTAGACATATCTTTTGTACACACGTTGTACTCGAACGGCTACGTGCAGTTCTCTCCGGTCTGTCTCATACTGCCCTCTGGTGCCATGATGCAAGGAGATAAAATGAACGTGGAATTCTGTTTAAATTGTTGGGAAGTTAGCTAACAAGTCTAAACACGTTAGTGTTAAACACACAGCGCCTGGATTTGAACAAAAAACGAATAGAATTGTGTATATATAGGGACTTGCTTCTTTAGACGAATAACACCGCCGATAAAAACTAAATTAAAAAATAAAAATCAATGAAGGTTAAAATTAATTGTCGACGGTTAGCTGTCACAAATGTAAGCGACCATGTGTTAACATGTTTGCTAACCTCTGACACAAAATTATCCCTCTGAAATTAGAAGAAATTATATTATAATTACAAACAATATATTCTTAACATTAAATACAGAATCAAAAGACTTACTACCTGGCAAGCGACTTTACCTCTAGTTGACCTTTTTCAGATTATACCATCGTTTACCAAATTTAACTTCCGGTCTCTCCGACAATTTCTATTTAAAACTTAAAATGATTTAAGCTTGATTTAAGTAAGAAATGTATTTAAAATATATTTGTCCTCACCACAACATTACTCCTTTATATAGTGGATTATTTACTTAATAAATCATCTTATGAATTAATTCATATAATATGATAACATATCATCACCATATTAAAGCGTTTTACATTTACATATCCTCAACTACAGTTTGAAAAGAGGAATTTATTTAATTTTTTTTAAATAACTGTAATTTAAACAATATTCACAATGTAAATTTACTGGTGTTTACATAAAATAGTGGACACCAAACAATAAGTGCAGTTATAGGACACAATTTAGGTCAGCATATAGGAAATGTGTCTGCTGTATCTGTGACTAGCAGTCATTTGAAGGTGTGCAGAGGTTTTAACTCAGCAGATTGTTTCATATGTTAAAGATGCAAATGCAGAATGAGATGCTTTTTACTTGGGGTTCCACAGCATCACAATAATTCGGATTTCTTTAAATATAATGTTAGGCACATAACAATAAAAAAAAATCCCCCTGTGACTCTGAGTTCCAAGCATGATTGAGACAGAGTTGAATGCTTGAAAGAGATTGAATATAATTGATTGTATATGATTACATGATTCAAAAGTAAGTATCCAGCTCCGTTTGAAACTGCATACACATATTGAGAGAGTAGGATGACATGGTATGCATCCCTATTGAAACTCGAAGATGATAGCTTTAACGCTTACTGCAAAACAAAAGTGTACAAAAATCATCACAAACCATAAAGCACACTGTTGCTTCCACTTATGCCCTCAAGAAGTTAGAAATATGCATTTAATCCCTATCCTGCATAATTTGTACCTATTTATTTTGTCAGATAACCCGACAACGTGCCCCACACAATGACTGTGTGAAAGTTTTCTGCAACCATTTGTCAAATTGTCCACAGGAACATATTCTTTGGCCTACTTTGACTTAAAAAAAATCTGGTCACACCCCCTGCTGGCTTCCGGGAGTGTAACTAGTCATCACCAGCTGCTATTTTGGTAGACAGTATAATTTTCAAACACGCCAATCATTTAAAATAACAGTAAGTCTTTAATGCATCACCATACGTGGTGATTTAGCATCTCTCTGCCTGCATTTCCTGAAACCTGGAGCGCGCTTACGTGGGGAACGTGAAGGCACCACGGGCCCGGGTTCTCCTTCTACGTCAATGACACTGGGCGGTTCATGAATGGGGTTTCGAAGTGGGAGGGCCCGTCATCTGACTTCAGCGGGCAGCAGGAATAAAGTGGGTGTTGTGCTGTGGTGTTTGGCTCGGTGCGATGCGTCTTCATGTCTGCTACTAAACACACGAGCAGCGGTTCACTGTGCTTGCGGACTACGGCGGAGGGATCGTCCCAGAGCAGAGCGAGCGAGCGAGCATCCGTCTGTTGAGGCCAGCAGCAGTGCAGCAGGGGAAGCTAGCTCCAACCCCGCTTAGACTCAGTGACAGCAGCCCGGAGCCAGGCAGAGTCGGTGAGCCATGGGTTTCCGCAAGAAGAACAAGAGCCCACCGGTGCTGAGCCACGAGTTTGTGATCCAGAATCACGCCGATATGGTGTCGTGCCTGGCCATGATCATCCTCCTTGGCCTGATGTTTGAGGTACAGTGTGACTGGACGAGCTGTTGTACTTAGTCGATTTATGTTAGCTGATGCTAACTCTCGCTAGCTGGGATGACAGCAGCACTCCAGTGACAGGGCGCTAGCGTGTCTTTCTCCTTACCTTCTCATGTGTCTAACTGATTGCCAAAGAAGATGGTAAGGAGGCCCATTGGCACAGCTAACAGGTCATCTTACCACCACTCTAGACTAATGCACTTCCTCTCTCTGGCTTTTGACAACAGGATGGTCAGGAAATATCTGCCTGCGTGCCACACATTTGATTACCAGCCTTTTGATTCGCCACAGCTGACTAGTACCTAGCCATATTTGAAAGGACTAAGATGGATTTCCTTCATCAAACATGTCCACACCCAAACCCTGCTTCCAGACGGGAAATGTCTCTCCACTTTCCAAATCAACTTTTTTTTTAATACTCTGTGTGAATATATTGAATTTTATGATTTATTAATTAAAAACATCTTAGCTGAATTTCCCTGATGCACCTATACTGAGTCATTGTGCCAGTGGTGGTGAAGACCCCTGGGAGCCCCTGCAGGCAGCTCCTGGAGGTCTCTAGACCCCAATTATGAGAATAAGTGGAATTCCACATGCTGTAGCTGCTCTGCAGCACTCCTCACATTTCTTCATTTTGCACTGCTGATAACAAAACTGTGAGCTAGATGCATTGGTGCGATTCAGTTGTGAACCTCTGATTGAGGTAAAGTTTACTGCATTGCATCCCAATGAATTCATCAATAATCAAAGTGTTTTCTTGTCATTACAGGTCACAGCAAAGTTTGCCATCATGTTCATCACAGTTCAGTACAACGTAACTCAAGTTCTTGGTGAGCCTATATTATTCTGTCTATTATTGCACCCTTTCACTGTTCTGAGGCCTGTGCTACAAAGTGAGTTCAACATACCCAGGATACATTTCTGTTATCTGGGTTAACTCAGCTTAACGCTGGAAGCCAGGCTAAGCAGTCCCACAAAGCTAGTTATCAACTCTCTAAGTTAACCCAGGGTTTCCCCTGCACAGTCACACGTTGGCAGCATCTGACCAATCACAGCTGTTTATAAGTGTTCTGGCAAAAACTTTTATTTATTTACACTCTAAAGAAAGATGAAACTAGAGGTTGAACACAAAATGCACACTGGGGGGGAAAAAAAACAGCAGTGTGTGAGAAGAAAAGCGCTGTAGACTCACATTGTAAAAGTGTGTTATCAGCACTTTGGTCAGTAAAACTAGAAAGCAGCTGCGCTATTAATAAAGTTTGGCCCATTCAAAGCCAGGAAAGAAAGCTGGAATAACGACTGTATAATTTAACACGCGTATCAATATAACAGCTCTGTCATTAAGACAGGTATCCTGCTATCTGAGCACATAGGTCAAAGGCGTCTTCCAGGAACAGAGTCAGTACATTCTGGAGAATTCATTAGTCAGTAGGTGGTGATTTCATACCTGTTGATCTCTAAACTGAAACTTGACCTGCTCCATAACAGGTTAGCTTCATAGCTGGTTCACTTCCCGGTAAGAAGTGTTCCACCTGTGTGGTACTGAAAAACCAGGGTTAAGCCTGAAATTACCTGAATAAAATGAAACACTGCTTTGTAGGTTTTAAGTGCTTCACCTTATTTATGTTTTTTCTTGTTTTTCTTTTCTTGTCCTCTTTGCAGATGAGAAAAGCGACCCAGTCAACCTTTACCAGTATGGCCCTAAAGACGTGGCCACTGTGTTTTTTTACCTTCTTATTGCAGTCATCCTTCATGCCTTGATACAAGAATATATTCTCGACGTGAGTACATCGGCTTGATGCCTGACCTTTTTTCTCCCTCTTTTAAAACGGGCTTGTTTTTGATGTCGTAAATAAAACCAGAACTGTGCTTAACAATAACTCGGTCTCCCCTTTAACAGCTTGTGTACATGCCCTTTTAAAGCAAATCACAATGGCGGAAGGAACCCGTGCGTACAGTACTTTACAATGGTCTTTAGAGTTTCATTTCAAATGGATCAACGTAGCAGAGTCTCCACTGCCACATGTGTCGCCTCCGTTATGTCCCTATTCTTTTTGTTGGTGATCAAATTCCATCCTTCCGTCCTTGCTTGTGCGTTCATTAAAGCACAGTGACTGAAACAACGCTCATGTTTCTCCTGACAGCTTATGGCTTTGATAATCGTTCTCAGCAGGAGAAAAGAATGTTGTTAGATGTATTTTTACCTCAAAATCTCTTTTGGACAACATGTAACAGATATAACAGAAGGGTAAATTTTTCTGGTCCTTTACTCTTAAAGGATAGAATCGCAATTTTCATACCTCTTAAAACAATAGCCCATGATTTTTAAACGGGTTTTAAAATCACAGAGTTTCTCCAGTTCATCCTGACTGTCAGCAGAACCACTCCTAATGCTCTTAAAGTTTATGAAGCAGGGACTTTGTCACCCCACTCTGACTCCTGTCTTTACCAGGTAGAGTTAAAAAGTGTCAGCCCAATTTTGTTTTTTAATTTAACACTTAGGTCTGTGGCATTGTGTTCATTAGGTTGTCTGTTTTTACTTTTATTTCAGAAAATGAACAGGAGGTTGCACCTGTCAAAAACCAAGCACAGCAAGTTCAATGAGTCCGGGCAGCTCGCAGCGTTCTATCTGTTCTCCTTCATCTGGGGCTGCAGCATCCTAACAGCGGTACCAGCATCAGAAACCAAGAGGTGCATTGTCTCAGCCTGCATTAGACCTCATCTCATGCAGTGTCTCTCTTTCTCACGCAGGAGGACTTTGCAACAAATCCTACTTTCTTATGGGAGGGTTACCCACATACTCGCATGGTGTAAGTAGTTATACACTCCTCCACATACTATAGACTCATTATTTAAAGCTGAATGATTAATCTAAAGAAGAACGTACCTTCATGAGATATTTTCATTGAGACTTTTCAGCCTTTTTGTTTTAATAATATGAAAAATTAATCAAGTATTGTACTTGTCTTATTCATCTTCCACAAGGAAGGTGGAGCATGAGGTGGACTGGCTCCACCTAAGAAAGGGTTGAAATGTAGATGAAATCCTAAATGGAAAACATCGCCACGAGTACTGGTTCACCATCAAAAGTGTAAGGTTGCAAATACGAGCGGCCAAATTGAATTTCCTGTAGGGTAGCTGGGCTTAGCCTTACAGCTAGGGTGAGGATCTCAGACATCTAGAGGAAGCTTAGAGTCCAACCACTCCTTCTCCTGACATCGAAAGGAGACAGTTGAGGTAGGGCTGCTCAATTAATCGAATTTTAATCACGATTACGATCTGGGCTTTCAACGATCATTAAAAATGACTGAGCCGATTATTAGCCCCTCCCTCATTTATCTGCGACACCTTAAAGGCCGGTCCGTGAAAATATTGTCGGGCATAAACCGGTCCGTGGCGCAAAAAAGGTTGGAGACCGCTGATTAAGAGGACCCGAGGGAAGCTCGGAAAGCTCGGAAAGCTAAGCAGAAGTTATTTGGAGAGTGACTGCCGTTGGTTGAAAAGAGAGTTTAAAAGAAAAAAACTTCAGTGGTGTTGCACACTATTTTATATTATTTTTTTAAAGTCATTGTTAACCCTTTAAATCCGGTCAGAGCAGCACGCTCCGTTTTGCGTAACTATTGTTAAATCCCTGTAGAACCTGAACCGTGTAAGCTAGCGCAATAATTTGTTTTGCATATGAAACCGGAGGAGTTGTACTTACATCTTATGCCATCAGCTTGTCCTCGGTCACGGTTTCGTTCCACATATAGCTTTGCAAAAATTGCATAAAAAGCGCTTGCAGGAACAAAAACATAATATTCCAGAAACACGCTTTGCCGATCCGATCAGCTGTTCGTAACACTTCCCACAGTGAAATGATGCACCTGCTGTTTTCTTTGCAAATTTGCATCATAGGATTGTTTTTTGTTTTTCCTGCAGTATATAAAAATTGCTGTATCTCCAAAATAAAACTATGAAGACACTCAAAATAAATTTCCTGTTGTTGTAAACTATTTTTTGCAACTTTATTGTATTTAAAGTTTTGAGGGATAAACCTCTTAAATTTCTCCAAGTAGAAATATATGTAAACAAAACAAAAGCGATTTTCAATTTTTTTTCGTAGTTTATTGCACTTTTTTGCAATTTATGTAATTACTATGCACTTAATGCATACATATTATTAAAATATGGGCTATAACAGTTGTATTGATGTATAGCAACTTGAAATGCTCCCACAAATGGCACTACAGCATGTAAAAAAATAATAATAATATAAGCTCTGGTGGACTTGGTTCCATAGTAGGTCTTAAAGGGTTAAATAAATATCGTCAAATAATCGTGATCTCAATTTCAGTGAAAATAATCGTGATTATCATTTTTGCCATAATCGAGCAGCCCTAAGTTGAGGTGGTTCGGGGATCTGGTTAGGATGCCTCCTGAGTGCCCCGTTGTACGTTTTCTGAACATGTTCAACTGGGAGGAAACCAGAACCTGCTCATTATCATTATCTGACTTTCAGTCATATGAAAAGGTTTTTATAGGGCTATATGCAGTCATGGGGAGAAAGTAAGTACACACTATGATCCAGAAGCTTGTAGAAGCACCTTTACCATAAATACTTACAGTAATATGGAGTTTTAACACATGCATTAACGTATAGCTGAATGTTCCAGACCAGCCAACTGTCCAAACATTTCTAGAGGTGTCCACGTTTGTGATAATAAGTTAATTTAAGTTTATTTGATTAGCATTATGTGATTGCTCCTCGCCCTCTTAATTCCTGCAGAAGCAGTAAGGTTATACTTGGTTAACTTTCCTTTCACATGACTGTATCACGTCTGGCTTGGGAACAACTTGGGTTCCCCCAGGAGGAAATGTGAGGAAGACAACATCATCATGCTCAAAATGCTGAATTTAACCTTTTTCTTCAAATGTTTTCCAATCCTGCTACTGAAGTCTTTGCTGTCTGTCTGTGTCCAACTGGTAAAACAGCAATTCACATGTGAGAAAAGCATTGGACTTGCATACATTTTTAAGGGCGTAGTTATAATTGTTCCTAATGGGTATAAAATGTGACAAACTCACAACTTATTACATTTCTCAGTTTTTCAGTCTGAGTTAGGGAATGTGATGTAATGCCTAATTAATTATCTGTGTGCCCTACTGCTGTTGACTCCGCGCTGAAAGGTTTTCTTGTCCTCTACACAACCTGTCCTTTGTTTAGTTTTCAGGTCAAGTTCTTCTACATTTGCCAAATTGCGTATTGGCTCCACGCACTTCCTGAGCTGTACTTTCAAAAAGTACGGAAGGTAAGGATGTCTTTCCCTTTTTTTTTCCCCCTTCTTCCTTTTTTTTTTTTTTTTTTTCCTTCCTAAAACTGATCGAATTCCAATAAAAATACATTTTGGTTTTATGAGTTGGGGATTTTTTAGCTGAGCTGAGTTCCAATAGCAGTTTCAAATTTTGATTTATCAGACCACAAGACAGTTTTACATCGCCTCAGGCCCAAAGAATGAAGCAGCATTTCTGAAGCTTTATTTTAATTTGATTCACTGACTGGTTTTTCTGAAATTGTCCTGAGTCATGCAGTGATTTGCACCACAGAGACATGTTTGCTATTAATGCAGTGCTCTTTCAAATCTCTGCGTTCTGTTTTATGTGTTTTATTAAGGGTTACATACTTTAAAGATCACTTGCTTGACAAATTTCTCATTGTCCTTCACAAAGCATATGTTGTAATCCATATATATATATATACACACATACATACAGAAAACTGTTTGCTTTATGGTTATCTGCTGATGCTAACAAACTCTCATCTGTTTTATTGTTTACAGGAAGACATCCCGCGCCAGCTTTATTACATTTGCCTTTACGTTGTCCACATCACCGGTGCCTATGTCTTAAAGTGAGTGCAATAACAGTTTTATCCCGAGGAAGAAATATAGAAGAAGCATGCATGTTACTCACAAAGGTCAACCAGTTAATTAATTATCAGTTAGTTCTTTATTTGCGGTTGCACTCGAGTGCATAACAGTAAAATTAGTACATTATTATCCAATAAAGAACATTAACTTCCTATCTTACAGTGATCCACTGCTCTGTGTCACATAGTTTTTTAAGTTCTTTGAGTTACGTACTGTGCATAGTTGTTCAGTTATCAACCTTTACACTCAGCCATAGTATTTTCTCTGATCATTTTTACACTTTTATTCTTCACCCCTGCAAAGGGGATTGCAGTCACAAGGTTTAATATTTTAAAGAGATCTTTTAAACTGCAGTCTTTTCACTTTGTTCATCTCCTTCAAAACTATTGATCCAAAAATAAAGTAATATGAGGAACTGATGAAAAAGGCATGTTCTTATAGAAAGCTATGTAGGTGCTATCTGTAGGTGACTTCTTTTTTTTTTTTAATCATACCCTCATTACTGTCATTGCTCTGCTGCCCTTCTCTGTGTCCTGCCCATACAGCCTTCACCGACTGGGCCTCGTGTTGCTGGTCCCTCACTACCTGGTGGAGCTTCTGTTCCATGCTTCACGCCTCTTCTACTTCAGTGATGAGAACAAGCAAAAAGGGTATGGCTTCTGTGCTGAATTTAGGATTTACTACTTTGTGGGTGGTAACGACCTAATGCCTATTTTTTTTTTTTTTTTTTTTCTTTGCAGTTTTACTCTGTGGGCGCTACTTTTTGTCATCGCCCGCCTCCTCACCCTCACACTCTCGGTTCTGACATTCGGTTTTGGCCTGCCCCGAACAGAAAACCAGGGCTTTTCCCTAGCTGAAGGCAACTTCAATGTGCTCACCATAAGGTAGGCCCAGCTGGGATCTGAAGCGTATTGCACCTAGCCAAAATACAGACGGCAATAAACTTAAATTAACAACATCTGCCCCTCAGGATGACTTGTCTGGCAGCTATCTGCCTGACACAGGCCTGGATGATGTGGAAATTCATTAATTTCCAGTTGAAGAAGTGGCGAGAGCACAGCCAGAACCAAGCCTCAAAGAAGAAGGCGGCCAGCCCAAAGAGCAAGCCTCACAAAAGGGAACTCACAAGGGGTGAGTGTGCACTCTTTATTGTTGGGATTCTTTACTGCTCTGTGATAGTCGCTGATGAATATGCCAGTGTGAAATCAAATTGACCGGGACTCTTTCACTTACTTCGTCTTGTTAGGTGGAGCTGCCAATGGAGTTGTCAAATCTGAAGATAAAACCTCACCACGGGCAAGGAAAGCTAAAGCCTCATAGAGCTTCACAGAGGAGGAGGAGAACGAGTGAGGGAGTTCTGACAATGTGACACTTTGTCTTTACACAGCTTAAAATTATGTGTACTACTCCCCAAAACAAATGTTTAAGCACGCTAGGAAACCTTACATGACTGTCCCTTTTGGGGGGCTGAGACTCCTTTCCAACAAAGTTCAGTGTTACTGTCTGCTAGAAGTGTTTATTATTCATTTGGGTTTGCCGGAGATGTTGACAGGGCAGTTGTGGTTTTGATGCTTTAACAGGATGGATTTAGCTAATCAAGTGTCCTTTTGTGTAACACTAAGATCGCTTGTCGGGTACTTTAAACTGAGTTGCTCTTTGGTAATTTGACACCGAATCAAGTTAACGTCACAGTACCTTAAAAAGCCACCCACTTCAGGGCAACTTAATATAAAGTATTAGCGTACACATCAGCTGTACAGGGTGTCAGTTAGAGTTTGGGCCGTTATTCCGTTTGGGGGGGAAAAACACAGGCTATGGCTCGTGTTCCAAAATGTAAAGCCTTTCTTGCTCTACGAGAGAGAGTCTTTCATAATCTGCCGTTGTCAGGAAAAATCTCTTAAATTATTCACTCCAAAGGAATGTTTGTGCTATTTCCATATTTAGCGTAGCTGCAGTGAGAAAGGTGAAACTTGTACTTAACTCCTTGCCATCATTTAACAGCACCTGCCATTGAAATCCAACACGTTGCAGGATTGAGGCACTGTTATATTTTAGACTGCTTTTATCACTACCCTGGTGATCGGCCTGTTGAGCCCTTTTCAGACATGGGTGATGTAACCTCGCTGGCTTCATCGGTCTGTTTAAGTGATGGCGTTCTGTCGTTCAAACAGGGGTCACTTTTCTGTTGGCGTTTCTCACGGTACGATGGATTGGGAATATGGAAAAATGCAACACAGAGCATTGTTATAATCCTAATCTTATTGCAGATTACAAATGGATTTGGTGAGCTAAAATGTCACCTGTATTCATGTTTTATTCATATTCATGCTGTTGGGATGTTTTTGGGCTGCAGCAGCTCACAAACATGTCTATGTCCCTATGCGATTACATTTAGACTGGTGTTTGAAGTGTGATGGGTAAATGTTATTGGCTTGACTTTTACAGAAATGTCACCAGGAAGCCAACATGGTCCAACATGTCTGAAATGGGCTTTTACAGCTGTTCTTCCAGGTGAACTGACTTACCAAGAGGAAGCTGCACTGTAACCTGTGATGCCGCCACCGTATGCATTCAGTTAAATCTTTACAATGGCATGACTGGAAGTTAGAAGGGGGAAAAAGAACAACAATTTGAGGCTGCACTTATGTCTTTTTATATGGTAATGTATGCATGACGGTTTAAGGCTAAAGACTTTAATGGCTAGTTCTTACCTGTGCTGTTAAGTTTGCATTTCTCTCTCACTCTCACACACACAACACACACACAAGCATTCAGTGGCCTTTTTACAACTGCTGCAAGAGGTTTGAGTTATTTATTTTTGTCATAAGCTACAGATACTTATTATTTTATATGCTTTGAAAAGCTATAACCAGCAAACACTGCGGTACATAGCAAAACTGCATTTAGTTAATCCAAACAATACAATCTTTCTTCAAGTGTCCTTATAATGTTGGTGGTTTATATCACTGCTTGTGTTCTGTTGTGTTTGCCTTTCTCTCTTTACTTTTGTTTGTGTTCTTGGGCATCAGGGGACAAGCGTTTCACCACTTACACCATAAGTTGCATCCGAGAGCAATGGGAGGCATGTTTGTGAGTTTGTATGCTTGTGCACTTACTCGTGTGTGTGCAATATTGTTTTGCCTACTGTGTATGTTTGTGAATTAACAGGGCCTGAATGATGTTGATGCTGATGATGGTCTCAGAGCATGAAATTTGACAATCTGTTCATTGATTCCTGCCCTTTGGTTGTATTTTCACAGTAATATCCTGTTCTTTGATTCTCTTTGGGTCTTTCTCGGTTCCCGGCACCCTTCTGTGTGCGAAAACACCGAGCTGTGGGTTAGGTGTATGTTCTGTAGGCTTTCGGTTACTAAATGCTTATGTGTTTAACGTCTCCGCCTCTCAGATGTTCTATCCTGTGTGAGAGAGATTCTCTGATTGCCAAATGCGGCACATTTTTTTGTCCTCCTTTCTTCACCTTTTCAGTGATCCTGACATTGCTACGGAGCACATGTATTGTATTGCCGGTCAAACTCTTTCCTCTTATGGACCAAGTCCTGCTCTACTACTCAACCACTGTGCATGCGAAGCTCTGTACAGAAAAGACTGTCTGCACACAGCTGGAGTCTGGAGTCTTAGTCTAGAGCAGGGAGGAGGTGAAGATGCCATTCATTTCGCACTCCCTTTAGCACTCCTTAGTGGGACTTGGGCTGTCTTTTAAAGCCTGTAGTCTGTGTATAGCAGTGTCAAAGGAGGGAAGGAAGAGCGGAGGACTTATGTACCAGCCTGTTATTAAACTGTCTCAGATGTAAAAGATACAAAAAAAAAACTGACTTAACCCTACACTGTACTAATGTATGTATCAGATTTTTAAGCTATTTTTATAGAGGGGAAACTGTTGAAATTCACTGTTCAGTACACACGTAAATATTTGATTTGCATCTATGTTATGAATTGTTTTTGTTTGTTTTTATATACTAAAGAACTGTTTGCTGAACTGTTAGTGTGGGTATACATAGTGATATGAGTGTAAATTTTACTTAGCCTAATGGTTTATATAACTTCATGGCCTTACTAGAGCAAAGTGAACTCGGTTGTATAACACTACGCTGCAGAAATGCATTGCAGCTTTCACAACATGCATATTTAACACTGTCATAATGTCATCCACACGTTAGGATTTTTTTCTTTTCTCCATTTTGTTTGTGTCATTCTGACAGGTAAGAGGCCTGTTTTTAAAGCTAGCAGTGCAGAGTGAAAGCATCTGTGGCCTTTTCTTGCTCATCAGATGTCTCACTGTGCAACAATCAGGCCCTGAATCATGAGCCACACCGCAGTTGAAGGCTCCTTCGCTTTGAGACATAATAGCTTGTATAATCCCAAGGAAATCAGCTGCCTTTTTTTTTTTTTTTTTTTTTTTGCATCATTGTGCAAAAAATGAATTATGGACCATAACACTGCTCACTTAAGGCTGTTTCTGCATTGATTCTGTTTGGTGAATTATAAATTGGACTTAAAAATCAGTGCATTTTGCCATTGTTGAAAATCAAGACTACAATGTAAAGCTGTATGAATAGCCTCTAGGTGGCAACCATCATTAATGCATTTGGACATGAAATCGCTTTTAAGAGGGGAAAAAGAAAGAAAGAAAACGGGGAAAAAACCTACAAAGAAAAGCCACACTATGTTTATTGTATTTTACTCATTTTGCATTGTCCTTATTTGTTTTTCTTTTGCTGCTTATTTATAGATGTTGCAATTTTTTTTTTCTTTTAAAATATGTTATCAGCTTTGATGGTATATATTTATGCAAATTCTTGTGAGTTCTGATCATTTTTCTTGCCACTTTTTTTAATTTTTTTTTTAAAAATTTCATGTTTTCAATAAAGCTCCTGTTAAAAAAAACAAACAACTTTTTTTTGACATCCCGCCTGCAGGTTAAATAGTAGACCTGTCTCCATGGAAACCTTATGAAAAAGACATGCAAACTATACTGCCGTTTTAAAGTGCCCTATAAATTATGAGCGCTACAGATAATTATCCTTATCAGAGGTGAAACAGCAAAGGAAAATGTCCTTCATAGAGCAATGATAGTGCACTTTCATTATCTCACCTCCTGCTCATTACATCTTTCCACCTATTGCACTTAAGGATATATTTGTGGGCCTGTTTAAAATTAAACCTTTTTAATTCACACTATCCGTTGGGGATGGTGTCAGCAGATATGAGGAAATATTGACCAAATCGTACTCCTTGGCTAATTACCACAAGGGGGCAATGCTGAGCTTTTAGCCCGAGGGACAGGAATGGTCTGCTGGGATGTGGCTGCACACAGACCTGCATTAATAAATCACCAGTAAGAATAAGAAGGACAGACACAGGCTTCTCACACAATATGTACTACAAACCATTTAAGTCAGACTTTGATGGAATCAAACCGCAGATCGCACATTTGTTTATCCAAACAGCTCATGTTTTGCATGTCCACCACTACACGGTCAATTAATATTTACATCCATGGTTGGTAAAGAATGAGCATGACACGGGAAAGAGACACCTGCAGCTCACTGCTAATGTGTTGTGTTGTGTCAGACTAATGGGTTTTCTCTGGACAATCAGACAGCATGATGGATCAGTGGGAACCAGAGAGGTAGTGCTGGAGCTCTGCAGGGTCAGCACAAGGACAGGAGTTCACTCACATGCTCTCCATCATGCACATACGCACACTGATGGCTGTATCTCCAGCACAAATACATGACCTGAACTTTCTGAGGTTGTGCTTTAAAAGCAGACTTGCAGAAAGAGTCCAGCTGTAAGGTCCAGCTAAGACGAGGAATAAAAATCACTATCCCCCTCTTTTTTTTATTTCCTTCCCTTCACCCAATGAGGTTAAATCTGTCACTGAATCGTCAGTATTATGTGTAATTTCCATATAAATTAGCTTCATTAAAATGGGAGTACTTTCTTATTTAACGAAGCTCATTTGAAATTCTGTATTTAATAAGACATGTAATCCCAGACTTGCAGACTAATTGCCAACAATTAGCAGGACAGGAGCATGTGTGTGTGTGTGTGTGTGCACGTGTGTGTGTGGGGTAATCTCTTGCAAGCATTGTGTTCCTTCAGTGTTATTTTCATTGATTGTTTAAAATGAGCAAAATTGGGCAGCAGCTGCTCTACCAGTTCGGTTTTGCTCGGTGGAGATCTAAGAAACTCATGACCTCATTGTTACTTGTGGGTGAGGTGAGTAAACGAGCATATGTAGACCGATGAAGGACAGAATGTAGATGGGGTGGAAACATCTGGAGGGATCTGAGAGGTAGGAATGTAAAGCAAATGGGAGCAGAGACAGAACTGTAAGGGGGAAAGAGATCAGTGCTATGATTTTCAGTACAGTGGCCATTCGAGGGACCAAATACAAGTTTGAGAATTGTCCTAGATTTTCCAGATGAGCCGAGGAAAAGTGAAACAAACAGTTTATTTCTAATAAGCTTGAAAGTCAGT